CACACACACACACACACACACACACATATATTTCTGTGTGTATATATATATACATATATATATAGTATATTGTTAAGCACAAAGAAAGAGTTTAGTGAATACTTAGCAAATTAAAGAACTCCCTGCAGAAGGAAATAAGAATGAAAGCTGCCTATTTTGTCTAAGCACTATGCGGAGTGAAGGAGGGATAGTCTCTCCTTTAAAATTCATATTACTTATAAGGCCACATAAACCATGAGTGCAATTTGGTACAACTGTTAAGTGAGTGAACTGAGACTCAAACACAAGTGCACGAGACTCAAAGGCAAATGAATTTAGTCAACTATTATAACAGAAAATTTAAAACAGGAACTGCAGTAGATCATCTGAGATTGAAATGTTCATTACCTCCAATAAAAGTTACATTAAAAAGACAATAAATTAGCTTATATTTCTAATCATTTAATAAATACTTATAGAATAACAACTTGAAACTAAAGTATTTATTTGGGTTAAAAAAATGATAATCTATGCCCTCAAGGAGACCACGGCCTAACAAAGAAAACTGATAATAAAATATTATTATAAAAAAATGTGATGAGTACTTGGATTAGAAGTTTGCATCATATGTCATGCTACATACAGCAGACATATTTCTAATTCTACCTGGGGGTGAAGGTATATTTTATGATCCTATACCCATTACAGCTATAATCATGATCACTAAGGCTATAATTATTTTTAGTTTTAATTCAAATCAGGTGGATTGATCGAACATTCCTGATCTGGTTATGTTATATCTGACTTACTCATAGTTTTATTATTATTCAATACCACTGCAATATTGAAGGAGACAGTTTAATTTGTTGTAATTTTTCTTTGTTATTAAATAGAGAGATTATAGTGATAATATTTCTCTGGTTACTTAGAATTCAAAACAATTCCAAATCACTGAAAGATTTAACAAAAATAAAATATAAAAATACAGAAGATTATTTTTTATTTTCTCTCCATATCTGAAAGTAATTTCAACATTGATAATCACCATTTTTTTTTAAATCTGACAAAGGAATTTAGAAATGCAAAAGAAAAATAATCGATTATTTTATTTTAAGAAATATATACTGATAAATTCAAGGATATATTTTTGAGTTCTTTTTATACTTCACTGTTAGTATTTTCTCAAATATGTTTTTTGAGAAAATGATTTATCTAACATACATGTGTGTAAATTTTACTGAGTTATTTTATACTTTTTTCAGTAATGTTTAGATTTGTAACATAACTTGAAAAACAAAGTAGAATAGACAATGCAGTCCACAATTTTATCATCAAAAATATCTGAGAAGATGCATCTGACATACTGCAGAATTAGTAATCAGTAAATCAGAGAAGATGGAGGAAACAAAAAAAAAAGAAGAAAAAGATTGCATTGCTGATGAAAATTGTTCAATGTTAACACTGATTCATTAACTTGTTTAGCAAATAGAATTTGTAATTGGAGCAGTGACAAAAGACATTAGACTTGATCTATCAGTGTAGCATTTTTATGGAGAATATCATAAAATAGATCACTAAATCAATATAAAAATGAAACTGAAAGTATAGTATATATTAACACTGAAGCTATTTTAAAATCACCAGTTTTATTTGAGCACATGAGTACAAAAGACACTAAATAAGACATATAGGAGAACACTACAATAGTATTATCTTCTACTGGCATCTTACAACTTCCTCTACATCAAATATACATTAACCTTATGCAATCATGAGCCAGTTATTTGTCAAAAACAACAAAGAAGTTTCCATGTTCCCGTTCCCTCCTCACCCCCGCATTCTCTACAGAAACCGTATAAATGTGTTCGAGGCCAATTACACTGAAGTGACATCTGTGGCAGTATCATATATTCAGTGGATATATATTAGTGAATTTGTAATTTTAATATAGTATATTCTATTTCATGGAATAAATTATCTAATTAAATACAACTTAAGCACTGCAGGCAATTATATGTAGATCCAGAGCTATGATACATCACTATTTAATATTGTTCAAAATCTGAATAAAAATCAATGCTTTCTAAGTCACTTATATCTAAATAACTAGATATATTGTTGCTGTTAAAATTTTAATTTGTTTACAAATATAGCAAAATCAATGTGCTAGAAATCACTGAATCCACAATACAGAATTACATAAAATGGGTTCTGAAAACAATCCCAAACTCTAGAACTTTCTCATAAAGAAACTTGTAATTGAGAGGTTTTTCTTAAATTTGAGAATTCTGTTACTTCTGTTTTCTCTCTTCTGATTTTATTATTAATACTAGAGATAATGATCACTATCGCTTACTAACCACTATGTAGCAGGTCTGCTACTAAGTGGTTCACATGCTTGATCTCATTTTTTTCCTTTTAATTTTGGGATGATTATAGACTTACAAGAAGGTGCAAAAATAATACCCACAGTCCCGTGAGACTTTCATGTCCCTTCAAAATAGCACCTCATATAATTGTAATACAATATCGAAACCAAGGGACTGACATTAGAACAATACTGTTAACTTGATTACATACACTCAAGTGTGTCTGCATGGGGGTGTATGTCTGTGTGAAGTTTTAGGCAATTTTACCCTAGATATACATTGGGTAACCATTATCTCAATTGAGATGGAGCAAACCTCTTCTATTACTACAAAAGAACTCTCTCTAGCTATCCTTTATATTTACAATCCAAGTTTTTTACTGCTAGCAACCATTAACTTGTTCTCCTGCATAGTGTTGAGAATGTCATATAAATAGAATCATATAGTATACCATATTTTGAGCTTTTTTCCTCTAAGCTTAATGCCCTGAGGTCTAAGCTTAATGTATTTCATGTTGTAGCATGCATCCATAGTTTGCTTCCCCTTTCTTTATCATTCAGCATTATTCCACTGTATCAGTGTGCAGAGTTTTAACTATTTGCCCATGGAGAACATATGGATGGTTTTCAGTTTTAGGCTCTTACAAATATAAGCAGCTTTAAAAATTTGTGTGTAGGTTTTTTCTGTTAATGATCTTATTTTAAGTTCCCAAAAAGCCCACAAAAATGAAGAAATAATTAAGTAACTAGAAAGAATTACAGTTTAAATTCGAGTCCAGGCCTGTAGTACTTCCAAACCAGATATGTAAACATCCCAGTGATACTAACTATTCTGTTGTTTCTTACATCATTGTATTTCATGTTGCAGTACTCTCAATAGTAACTAATATTATACACTGAGAATATCTTTAAATACTTAATATTTATCCATTATTATTTAATGAAAATTTTGCTTCACTCCAATGAGCACTACAAAATACTGGCTTTCTGCTTTGTGATGAACATAATGACAGCTGCTGTAGGTAGAGTAATCCTGGTATTCTGTTTATATGTTCTATTAAGGCTCAGATAAGCAAGCTTGAGGCGTAATTAACTGAAAGAACATTTAAAATCCTTTTTCTGATTGGCAGTGTTATTGCTTCATTGAAGAATGAACAGAGAATCACTTTTCTGTTTATTCAGTTTTACTGAATTTTTGTGGAATATCATTAAATATTCCACAATATTTAACTCTGCAATTTATGTTTAATAAATTTATACCAGTATTGTAAAATTAATGACAGTTAAAGATTATATAGAAATAAAGATCATGGAAGACAGAATACTAATCCCCCAAATGCCCATTCTTAATACCCAGAATCTGTGAATATATTATGTGACAAAGAAAAATTGAGGTGGCCAACACAACTAAGGTTGTTGGTAAACTGACCGTAAATAGGGAGATGATCCTACAGTATCAGGCAGGCCAAATATAATCACAAGAACCATTACAAGTTAAATAAGAAGGCAAAAAAGGACTCAGAATCAGAAAGAAAGAAAGATGGTGATGTGACACTGCCTAATGTTTCTAAATTTAAAGATGGAATAACAAAGCCAAGACCCATAGAATGCAAGTGGCCTCTAGAAGCTAGAAAAGGCAAAGAAACTAATTTTCCATAGACAAAAGAACATAGGCATCTTTCCTGTTGAACACAGTCAAAAACTTAAATTTCGCCCAGTGAGATCCACTTCAGACTTCTGACCTCTTGAAATCTAAGATAATATATGTTAAGCTACTAAGTTTGTGGTAATTTGTTATTAGCAATAGGAAAACTAATACAGATATATAGATGGAAAGATAGAGCGATGGCTAATTTTATGTGTCAACTTGACTAAGCTATGGTACCCAGATATTTGGTCAAACACCAGCAAATGTTTCTGTGAAAGCAGATTTTAGATAAGACGAAGTAAGCAAACCCTGAATAAAGCAAATTATCATCCAAAATGTGAGTGGGCCTCATCCAGTCACCTGAAGGCCATAGAGAAAAAAACCGAGGTCCCCTAAAAAAGAAAGAACCCTGCCTCCTGACTCCTGACTACAACACTGGTGTCTACCCTGTCCATCTGCCCTGCAGATTTCAGCCTTTCAACCCCACATTCATCTGCACTAATTCCATAAAATCTGTGTTTGTACATATGCATACATGTATATGTATACAGAGATAGTATATGCATGTTCTTTTGTGTCTCTGATATTGGTTCTTCTGTGTCTCTGAAAACCCTGATAATGATAAATGAATGGATGGAAAAACATTGATACATATAGGAAAATCATGTTTGGTTACACTCGAATTAGAAGCCTAGAGTTTTCTTGAGTAAGAATGCTCTAAGAAATATTCTTCTAGGCC